ATGCACATCTTGCTTTCAAAACTACATATAAATGGGGCATGGTGGCATACATGTATAATCTCAATACTCTGGGAGGGTGAGGTATGAGATCTCAAGTTCAAGTTCACCTTGGGCCACTCAGCAACTTAGCAAGTTCCCGTCTCAAAAAATGGGTGAGGGTGGGGGGCTAAGGATGTGGTTCAGTGTGAAGGCCTTGGATTCAGTTCTCAGTACTCTCCCCACCAAAAACAAACCCCAGGCTCTATGCCTTAATTCAGATGAGAGTGAAAATTCAATTAAAAGATGGAAGACCCAATTTAAAAATCAAACATTGAAAGAGCCAAATTAAAACTTAGAATGTATGATTTTAAAAAATTTTTGTTCTTAGAAATCTCTGTTCATAGGTGATAATTTTCAAGGTAGCAGTATGGAAATCTTACAACCTAGAACATGAAATGAAAATATAAAAACATATAACTTCAAGTAGTAATTTTCAAAGTCAAGTAGCAAACAGCAAAGTTCATTCTAAGAACCTTGGTATTTATACCTGGTAATAAATTTGTTCATGTTTCTCATGAATGAAATCAATTCCTTGTTGATAATAGTTCATCCTGAATAAATACATAATTCCCTTCTTTCACCTCTTATTATCAATTCTTTTGATAGCATACAACTATGAGATATTCTATAATCAATCTTGACTATTACCAAAATGTACTTACACTAAAAATATTTTTGATAGTGATTTTATCTTTATGGTTTTTCTTTTGTCATATCAAAAAGGAAAGTTATGGATATCATGAGACTATAAAGCAACGATAAAAGCATAGAACAATATTCAAGAGTTTTTAGCATCTTAAAACATCTACAAGCAGTTCAAACACAAAAGCAAACTAATTAATATCTTTTGGGAAGCACAAATACGGAATCACAATTTTTTAGGATACAACTCAAGTTATTTTAATCACTTGCCATATATATATATTTGTCTTTTTCCTTTTTATCGGTACTGGGGATCGAACTCACGACTGCCTGCTTGCAAGGCAGGCGCTTATGCCACGGAGCTAAATCCCCAACCCCGTTTTTTCTTATCTTAAAATGATCTACTTTATTATAAAATTTTGGCTACTAAAAAGACTTTTTTTTCAGTTTAATTTACTTTCCATTTTGGTATTTTTAACAATACTGTCCCCAAATTATCTGTAATATAAGCATTAACTATTATTACTATATTAGTATGTATTTCACTACACAAAAATTTCATAGCTTTTACTTCTTTGTCATGTTGTAAATTTCTTTCTATATTATTTGGAAGTGTTACTATTTAATGAAAACACATCAGAAAGAGAAAGTGTTTTAAAAATAACTTATTTATTATTGAAATGAACAAAAACTCATAAACAGCAACTAACTTCTATACATAGCATAAAAGCTAATTATCCAGCCTACACTTTCTGATGATAAAGCCTGGCACGGTGGTGCACATCTGTAATTCCAGCACTTGGTAGGCTGAGGCAGGAGGACTACCACAAGTTTGAGGACAGCTTGGGCTACCAAGTGAGTTCACGGCCACCCTGAACTATATAACACAACTGTGTCTCAAAAAGTAATAATAATAATGTCAAAAATGTCATTAGAAGTGTGTACAGTACCTTTATTAGTTAAAATTCTTTGACTAGAGTAACAGAAATTGTACTGATTTAACCTAAACCCAGAGAAAGGATTTGTTATAAGAAAACACGTATGTTATCTGAATCAAAACTAGAAATAACTATCAAGAAAAAAACAAATTCTTGTTACTCATTTGCTTTGTTTTTGTCTTGAAAGGACTGTTTCTCTTTTTCCAACTATATATCAAATAAGCTACAATTGCACAGTTTTAGCAGTTATTTGGTCCCAACTCCTTATCATGAAAACTAGTTTGAAACATGTGTGCACCTAAAAGCCAAATACATGGGTCTAACCACATCACATAAATACACCTGCCAGTGAGGCCACCCTATGAGGTGGGTTGGGTGGATGCTGAGATATTCCCACAGAGAAATATGCACCAAGCTGGACAGAAAGGCCTAAAGATATCAACTATTATGCTTTGTTCATTTACAAATGATTTCACCTACACAATTTTAATTGATAAGGAGATCAAGTGCCTATACTATACCTACTTAACATCTGGTAGTGGTATTTCCCATCAAAAAGCTAAGGTATTCCAAACTAAACTACTCATGCTGTGACTGACACTAACAAATATGTAATTTCTACTGCCTTTAGACCTTTCATCACTTGCTATAAAGTACATCCCAGAAGATTAAGCTCAGATAAAACTAGTGAAACTTTGTGGAAATAATGGCTTCTGAATACAAAGCCACACAGAGCATCAAAACCCAAGTTAGGAAAAAAAAATTATTAAAACATACCAATTAAAGACCACTTCTGTTAAGTGTCAAAAACCTAAAAACAGAAATATCATATATGATATATATACACATATTTAATATACTTATATACATATATAATATATACATATAATATGCATATATATAAAACAGAAATATCATATAATTTCCCTAAAGATGATTCAACCTATATAATGCTAACTTTATAATATTGTACTGTTTTCCTTTTATTCAATTTAGTGCTGACCAGATTAATTTCTCTTCTGCTGGTGAAAAGCCAAAATAAATTCAAGTAACTCAGTGTAATATTCCAGTCCAAAGCCTATTTATAGCAGTCAATTTAGGCAACTCATTAATGTGTAACGATACATGTTTTTCACCATCTACTTATAATGGTTTTCAGAACAAATTCAAAAGATCAAGGCACCTGGTCAATGAAAAGCAGATGTCTACAGAAAAATAAGATAGGTTTTTAACCTAGAAAAATGAAAGACTGACTATCTGGCATTCTGAAGATTGCTTATATCATTCTACAAACATCCTCTCATTATTTTAATCTCACACTTTATAAAATTCTTTTAGAGCCTTTGCCAACAAAATAAAAACATTACACTGCAGGGCCAACATGAACTGAATATCTTATTCTGCAACATCATTGACAACTTCATAAAATAAAATAAAGCATTCAAAACATTTTTACAAAGGGCAGACAGTATACCAAGGAGTCAAATTCAAAATGGCATAGCAAGATAAAAATACAGACAGGCAGTTCTCCTCACAGCTCTTATGATCCTTAGGACCAATCTCTTCCATTCAGCCCATTAAGACACGTACTCTGTTTTATGGAATTGAAAGCAAAGTCAAGATCTTTAAACTGTTGTAAAATTTTAGGGGTTTTTTGAGTCAGGATCTCACTACACACTTCAGGTTGTCCTTCAACTCACTATATAACCCAGACTGATCTCAAACTCACAGCAATCTTCCCACCTCAGCCTCTCAAGTGCTGGGATTATTACAGGCAGCTGAGTTAGTTAGAAATATTATAGACAGGGCTGGGTCCTCAAAGGAGGCCACACACCCTGTCCACATAACCTGCAACCTTGGAGGAGACAAACACCTCCAGCTGTGGGCCCGCTCTCAAGACAAAAGGCAAAGCAAATACACCCACATCCTAAGGATCCACAGTCCAAATAGTTCTCTGTCACCCTAAGGAAGTCAGGAGTCACCATTCCAACCCCCTACAGGAAGTCACTGCTGTTAAGCATGCCCTCTTACCATGTGACTGGCTTTCCATTTACTCCTCAATTAATCAACTTTACCTGAGCAATTAATCTTATTGGTTGACCACAGTTCTGTCCCAACTTATGCCCACCTTGCAAGTTACAAGGTTTTCCTCACCTTGGACCCATCTCACTTGTGGTTTTACTCTATCAAACTCCTTTTAAAAAAGATAGAATCTTAGGGGCTGGGGACTTAGCTCAGTGGCATAAGTGCCTGCCTTGGAAGTGTGTGGTAGTGAGTTTGATTCCCAGTACCGATAGAAAAGAAAAAGACAAAAAAAAAAAAAAAAAAAAAGAATCTTGGGCAACGCACTCAAGACGTCCTTCTGTCTCTCTCAGACAGAAGCTTTCTTTCTCTCAGTAAATGTATCTGCTTTTAACCTCTGTTGTTTCTAAAATTCAGTTTTAGAGAACGAACTCCCACAGAACATCTAGTAGGTTGGGGAGTTTCATTTCCCTATATCAGGGTTACAGGAATCTGCCACCATACCTGGCTCTAAACTGCTGTAATTTTGTTTTTGGTCAATATTAAAAAGAACAAGTAACACAAAAACTGCCAAGTGTGGTGGCACACCACCTTAATGCCAGCAGTCAGGAGGATCGCAGTGAATTCAAGGTCAGCCGGTGCTACATAGTGAGTAGTTGTACCAAAAAAGAAAAAAGAACAGAGAAGGATAAAGTGAAAGAAGAGGAAGAAAAGACAGAGGTTGACCCATTCCAGTGGGGCTGGAGGAATAGCTGTGTTGGAGTGCGTGCTCAAGGCCTAGGCCGGTTTGGTTTGCTTCAGTTTGGTTCGGTTTGTTTCATTCCTTACCATAGCATTTATATCAGCATTCTGGCTTTCTGAGTGTTTTGTTTTTACTTTTTCTCCCCAAACCGTGGGTGGTGGAGAGGAAGGCTAAACTGATAAGGCACAGGTATCATTATCATGGATAGGGCCATACCCAACACCATGCCTATGGCACCCCAAAAGCATATTGTGCCACCTGGGCACAAACCCTATCCCATGTCATCCAACTTCCCCGCAAGCTCCTCCTCCTTAGTTTCCGCACCTCTGCCCCACCCCCCTTTAGATGTCCCATCTGCTGACTCCAGTAAATGCGTATTAAGGCCTCAATAACCTTCACAAATGCCTTGACTCTAAAGTTCCCTCCCTAATGCTCCCAGGGAGAAGTAAAGCATTTCATTTGTGTTGCAACAGTTTTGGCCATACCTTATAGGGTTTTGTAATTATCAGCTCCAATACTGACAGCCACGCCAAAAAATTCAAGAAAGGAAAAATTCAGGTCTTCTTAGAGGAGCGTGAAATACTACAACTCCCATGAGGCAGTGGGGCAGCGGGACCCACGACTCCCAGCACCCTCTGCGCGATTCTACATTGTCTCGGTAGGAGGCCAAGCGAGAGGCGGTTAAATATTTAAGGAATTTTTGGAGAAGTCGCCTTTCTGGATGGCAGCGTGTAAGGAGGAGCTTGAAGCCCCAACAGAACAGCAGGATGTAGCGCGCGGCGAGGAAAATTTGCCCATTAGCGCGTGGCCGCCAGGGGCGGGCCCGGAGCCCTTCCAGGTAGGGGCGGGGCTGGGAGCCCGCGAGGCTGTGCGCAGCGCCCGGGGGCGCCGCAGGGGTGGTGCGCAGCGCCTTTCGCCTCTTGCAGTCCTCAAGACTAGCTCAGGAGCTGCCGGCTTCCGACCATTTTTCTCCTAGTAGCACGTGAGAAAAGTTGTATGCACAAGTGTCAGGCTTTCCTATTACTTGTCAATAAGAGCTTCGCAAGGATTTTGTCCTGTTCTGCCGCAGACTGAAAGACCAGAAGTGAAAGACTAGAGGCCTTAAGAGCTCTGAGAACCTGGTTTTTTGTCCATTCTGTCCTCCGAACTCACTAGGGCAAATTAGTTACTTCTGTGGTCTCAAGGATCTTACATGTACAGTAAGACTAAGTCCTATTAATAGATCTTAGCCTACTGTCCTAAAAAGCAGCCACGTTACCTGAGGTTTCATGCTGTGGAGTGCTCAGGCAGATACAGATTATCTCCTGCAAAGCTTTACTAGTGGACTACTAGTTTAATAATGCCACTCTTTAGATCCAGTTGCTTTGAGAATTATAAATAAAATACAATTTGTAGCTAGCTAGCTGCATGAACTCAGTAAATGCTTACTGCTATTAGTATGTCAAAACGCTTCTTTCTCAGCCCCTGACTGAGGCCTAAAAGTTGCCTAAGGAATCTGGAATAACAACAAAAAGCCATGAAGACTGAATTCGTGGGATATTCCAGAGGATCACTTTAGTCCGAGGATTTGAGACTCTCCTGTACCATAGCAAGAGCCTGTCCTAAATAAGTAACACCTAAAGGCTGTTAAGAGAGCCAGATGGGTTAGTGATCTTAGCTATTTCGCAGAGGTGAGATTCTTCATCCGTAAAATAGAAATAAAACAGCCCTTTCTCACCTACCCATTTTGAGTCCTACTTTTGCCTTTTTCTAGGGTTTTAAGGATGAAATGAGACAGTTCAATGTGAATTTTCAAAATAGGAAAGGATATTAACATAAGAAATTAGTCTGTCAAACTGATTTATGACCAATAATACAAGTTTATATTTGTACTGGCCATGTACAGTTCATACAAGTGATTAGCACTATATGAAACACTGATACCTGCAAGATCAAATATTGCTGAACGCCTGGTCAAAACAGTGATATGTGTTTCTTTAGTGAACAAATAATTGAATATGATGGATCAGGCACTGCATTATTAGCAAAGACCTAGAAAAGATGATGAACCATGCAGTACTTTTTTTTTTTTTTTTTTTTTTTTTTTTTGTACTGAGAATCAAACTCAGGACCCTGAGCTTGCCAGGCAGGGGCTCTGCCACTGAGCTATATCCGAGGCTGAATCATGCTGCTCTTGCCGTTAAGCTTATAAAGCATGCAGAAATGGTTGCTTTTTTACCCCCAACTCTGAGACCTGAGGCTTGGCACATTCTAAGCAAATAATCTACCATTCAACTATACTCTGGCCCTTAAAAAAAAAAAAAAAAACTATTCTAAATTACTTTTAGATATTTACGAAGAACTCAGTGCATACAAAATGGTGAGGTGGGTTGCAAAGAATACAAAAAAGAGAAAAACATATTGCCTTGCCCTCAAAATGTTAACGACTAAGTTATAATTAATTTTAACCAATTAGTTTGTAATGTTGAACAAAACTGTTGTTTATGTGAATTCTAAATCTGTTCCTAATCTTGAGTCATGTTTTTCCTGGCCATATCCAAGAACAATCTGTAAAACTATTGGCCAAATATACTTCTTTAAGTATGAAATTAATCTAAGAATAAATTGGGCGGGCATTGTGGCACTTGCCAGTAGTCCCATCTACTCAGAGGCTGAGGGGGAGGACCACAAGTTCAAGACCAGCCTGGATAATTTCGCAAGATCCTGTATCAAAATTAAAAAGGCTAGAGACGTAGCTAAGTGGTAGAATACTTGCCTAGTATATATGAGATCCTGGATTGAATGCCCAGTGCTGGAAAAAAAAAAAAAAAAAAAAAAAGCATACAGAAGTCCTTCCAATAGAAATTAATCATCATTGTCCATAATATCATGAGGTTAGATGTGCTGGTTGTTATTCTTCAAAATGTACTTTTAGCAGGCAGTCCTGCGTTCGATCCCTGGTACCGATAAAAAGGAAAAAGACAAAAAAAAAAAAAAAAACAAAATGTACTTTTAAATTTTTGTCTATTTTTAAAAAAAGACAAGAGACAAGAAAAAGATTTTTGATTTACGCTTAGACCTATAGTTGATGGCATAAACATAAGGAGATTAAAATAGAAGTTCTTTAGCTGCCTATGCAAATACACTTCTGTGGATACAGTTAGAATTACAAAATGATTGCTTTCTAAAGGAATTGATGGTATTACCAAAATGTAACATGCCTGATATATTTAAAAGACATATCCCAAATTGACTTCAATTAATTTTCTTCTGTGTATTCAGGGAGCACAAAACCAATCTAAAAATGGTCAAAATAGCTTGCCTGCTTCACAGGCATGTGCACAGAGAAGAATTAAGGCCTGAAAACCCTACGGTAAAAATAACTTTGTGTCTGGTTTGCTTTTGGTTACTGTGTGAAAGGCAAAAAGAACATCCAAATGTTCAGATTGAAAGCAAGCATTTTGTAATGTCATCAGGGTTGAAAGCCAAGTAGAAAATAAACTAATTGATTTTCTTGAGCTAGGAATCAGGTCTAATCATTTTTTTAGGTCTCTCAAACCGGCTTCAAAGGTTATTTTAAGACCTCAGTTGGGCTTTGACAAGAATTATCTGGCTCACCGTCTCCTAATAACTACTTGGAGCAAAAGCAAACTTAAGAGGCTAGAAGCCAAGTACAAAGATTCTTGTAGCTAGGGTTTCAACACAACCAAAAAAAGGAAAGCAAATTTTCACAACACTGCCTTAAGATTCAGAATTGAGGCCTGGATTGTAAATCCACAATGTTACTGGAGTCATACTTCAGTTTCTGCCACCTTGCTTTATAGAGAACTCAACTCAGAAAAGTCCCACTTCCCAGAGTCTACAATCAGATAGTCAAGAAGTACTTCCTGAGCACCTACTGTGTGCCTAGACTATGGGTAGAAGTCCTGATCCCATCTCCACTCTATACCCCAGGTCTCATGACGGCTTTTCCTTGAGAGAAGGCTACCCTTTTAACACAGTGTTCAATAGTCCATGACGGTCATATCTCAGGTTTCATGTTATTAACAATGAATGCTGGCCTAGTTAAGAAGCAAGAGCTTGTTGCAGACAAGAGCAGTGATGAAAGTATATTTGCTGTTCAATACGTTTTCTGTTTCCATTTTGACTTCTTGAATAATAATTATTTATTGAATTTTTTTCTTTGAAAAAACTTGAAATCTCCACCTGGTGCTTCATAGATCTGGTTTCTGACGCATTATTTTGCATCTGCTCTCAACTCTTTACATGAGAAATTCTGTGTTGTGATATATATGAAAAAGTTTATAATCTGACAATGCAAGATATAATCCCTCCAAAGTTCTATTTTTCATATCTTCCTGTGTATTTTTCTGAATGATTTCAAGTCCCAGAATATGTATATAACATAATAAATTAATATTTGTGGGGTTTTTGTTTTTATTTAGGGGGAGGTACCAGGAATTGAACTCAGGACCTCATGCTTACCAGGCAAACACTGTGTTGCTGAGTTATATCCCCAACCTTAAAGTCAGCTTGAAGAAGTCAGCTCTTAGCTTTTCCCCATGTTAAAGCTGAGTAATAGAAGTCAGGAAACTTAATTCCTGACACATGTTGGTTGAGTATGTTTGACCCTGGAAAGCATAACTTCTGAAGTGTTTTCTTTACCGCCGTACTGTTTGACATGCATAATTTTTATTAAACGTTTATGTGCTAATCACTAGAATAAGCTTTTTGCATGGCTTCTTCCATTTTTTTTTCCTTTGTATTAACCAAAGAAGTAGATAAGATGTTTAAAGGGATTGAGTAATTTTCAAAAAAAAATGATGATAAAATACCTAAAAATAATATCTAGAAAAAAAATGAATGAAGTTAGTTTTTTATTAGAATAGGTTAAGAAGCTAATATATTTAAAGTATCAAGTGGCAGGCTGAATATAGTATTATTTCATTTAAAGTTCATGAAAACCAGCCTAAGTATGAATATTGTCCCTGTCTTATAGTTCCTGACTTGAAGCTTTAGCAAATCATCTGCTCAAAGTTGCAGTGCTAATAAGAGCCTAGATCTCTGTGCATCTCGTTCAGGACAGTCCATGTTCTGCACTAAGAAGCCTTCATTGCTTGGCCAGTATTACAGGCTGTAGTCACAAGTTTTCCTGTCAAGAGTTTTGCACTTTGCTCCAGTCTCATCTCCTAATTGGAGACCTCGTTGCTCATTGGTCATTTACATCTTTAACTAAATTTCCCATTAATTTTTTGGAACCATTATCAGTTTTACCCTATTGTATCAATCAAGACATTTGTAAGACTTGTAACACAGACTGACTCAAGCTAAAGCATAAGGGAACTGCTTCAAATAATAGAGAAGTCTGGAGGTGATTACTTTAGACCTGTATGGATTCAAGCACTCTTAACAGTGTCATCAGATGTGTCCTTCTGTACCTTTGTCGTTTGCAGTCCTGCTTTCCCTTTCGTGGCTGACTACACTCTGAGTACATCTTTATGTGGTAAACTTGAGAATGCAGAGAAAACACTATGGTTTACCAGCCCTAGTAGAAAGAGTGCTGCTTTCTCTGACTGCTTCAGTAAAAGTCCTAGCTTTTCTGTTTCATTATTACGAATTAAGTCATATGTCCACTCATGAACCAAATACTTTTGAAAAAGCAAGCAATTATATTTTATCAAGTCTAGATCTCAGTCCTGCTGGGGCCCTTAGACAAGCCACAAATAGGGGCTTTTCATAACGTTAAGTGAAATAAAACCGACACGCAAGCTTAAATATCTTACAGTTTCTCTTATGTGAAAAACCGAAATTATAAATAAAGAGTAAAAAATAAAAGGAAGTAGGGAGATAGATCTTTCT